TATAAATGTCAGTCTTTATCGTCCGACGTTTGTGGTGTCTACTAAAGAGGTCGAAAAATTTACTCAAATTTTAGGCACTACCCATAGTTGAACCCAGTCGAATTCAACATAATTAATTATAATATCATAAAATTAAAATAACTGTCTTCGTAAACTAAGTAAGTACGACAACACTACATTTTTTCTTTACACTGTTTGTCACGAAGATTTTATTTAACGATTCGAAATCTAAATACACGTAAAATTTAGGTCGGTTCGTAAGTCCCATGTGAGAGGTGACTTCCCTCCCAAAAAAGATGTCTCGACGTAGAGCGACATTACATTAGGGTCAAGTGTCAGGGCGACTGATCGACCAAACTCACCCGCTTCTCAGACGAGATCCGACGAGTGCTATAACCCTTTTTGACTGTAACGCTAAAACAAGGGGGACGCTAATATAACGCTATACTTTTTGTATGTCTTAACTTCCTTCTGACAAAAAAAGGCTTTTGGGCGGGAAAGAATTTGAATACGATATGTCAACTCATAAAAAAATTGATATTAAATTTTGGCCTACGTTCCTAAATCCAGTGCCTGCAAGACTAGAATTCAATAGTCTCGTTGTTGCGAGGGGGACCTCTTTGGTACTTTGGATGAAATAAGCACACAAATGGAAATTTAAGTGCCCCAGGCAAACGAAACCTCTAAAACTAACACCGAACGACACGTACGTCTCGGACGTACAGTGAGGTGAGTTTCATGGGGACTGTCTCTCGCCGCGTCCCAAAAAAAGGAAAAACATCGTCGGTCGTTTTTATTAACATTGTACTGCACAAACCACTTAAACGGGTGAATTATATCGGTCAGGATTTTTTTTTAATACTTATAGCGGGCTGCTACACTTATAGCGCCCGTAACGCCCGTAATAAGCGCTAATAGCAGTGCTGGTGCTATATGCCGTTCGGGAATCAGAACCGAGTGAAGAGCCTGATTGTTCTTTGTGTGACACCTTGAGATATTGTACAGGTTTGATATATTTTCCGTAATGTAATTGACGTACGACACTTCTCACATTATTTTTTGTGCATCCTCAATTGACAATGAAGATTTTTGCGGGATGTTCAGTCTTCTGGGGCTTCAACTGCGTTTTATTATTATTAAAGTAACGAGTTTAAATCTCGGAAATATGGTAGGTTCTATTTTTATTTTATTTCTTGAACAACGTTACAAATTGATCAACATTGTTTTCCCTTTTGTCGGTTGTCGCCGACTCACATGACTTTTGACACTGTTTGTTTAACACTCAGTCTTTTACACTCTTCGAACTGGTATACACTTTGTAACGTATTCGTCTCCACTTAGTTCCTCAAGTAGAGGAAGATCAAGATCCAGGTTAAGTATAACTCCTGCTCGAGTCGGTAATTACATACGTACCGACCTCTTTCTCGACCACAGATCACGATACCGCGACACTACAAGGTGATAGTCTCCACCTATATTGTTCTTCAGCAGTAAAGGGTCCCCAGGTGACGTCGGTGAATGTGATGCGACAATCACGACTTGTCAATTACCTGGTAGACGTAAAATGGCGTAAATGTTATTTTTCCTCACGTTATTAGAAATTGTTTCCCCCTCCACTTTATGACTAAATTAAATGGGTAAACCCAAATGTCTCCTAACGGCGGGCATGTGTAATTGCAAAACAGATAATAAGGTCTGATATAACTCTATTATGCTTGGTGAGCAACGGGCCTCCCCAGCTGACTACTTTTTTTTTTACGATGTTGTATTTTAGTGTTGCCTCTGTGTTTAGTGTCCTGTCTGTCTGTAACTTTGTGTGGTCGTGTTACCACTGACAGGTCTCTCTTGAAAATGAGACCGTGTATCTCAATGAGATCTAAACCTTTATAAATAAAGGCTAAATAAAAAAAATAAAAAATACTGTATATATATTATATTGACTCTTTGGACAGTTGTGTGATATATTCCTTTAAAAAAAAATATTACAGTGGGTAATTTATTATTGAATCTATGTATTATTATTATAAGGTATTCTGTGACAGAGCTCCTCTCCTCGACGCTCTCTCGTCGACTCGTCCTGCAGCCTTTAGTCTGGTAGTTTGCTTTCATGTGATTTGAGGGAGTGACTTTGGAAGGCGGCCTGAAGGGAGGTGCTGGAATTTTTTCAGTCAAATACTTTCAAAATCTAGTTTACTTGCTGGTTGAGCCAACGTTTTCTGACCCAAAAAAGAAAAAGCTTTGAACAGAAACGTGGCATCGTGCTACACTGGTTAATGACATTCAAACTGTTCTGTGTGGTAGTATCACTAGATTTGGATCTAAAACACTTGACTTTAGTGAGGGTAATCAAGGCTAGCAGGCCTTGGTTTGTGTGAGAGTGTTTAGGTTGTCTCAAGGACTTCTCGATGGTTAATCAAATATTTTGTCAGTTCTCATTTTCAGTAGATGCTAGTTGCTACATCAAAAGGGCCTCGTGCATTTCCTCTGACATACCTTCCTGTAGATCTGAATCAATGTTACTTTTCTATTATTGATTTTTTCCTATAATTTCGCAAAACGTAGCATATTCGGATATGGTGGCATCATGCTGTGATCATTGTCCCTAAAGTGTGTATAGTGTGTCATGTCTCCTGGTAACCTGCTTTGTTTCTTCCTCAGAGGATGACCTAAAGGAGAAGCAACGTCTGGAGCAGTTTTCTCAGCAGAGGCACGCTGCTGTGCTCTACAACTCAACTATCCACATCAACAATGTTTCTAAAGGGGACGCTCTGCGCTCTGGGGGCCACCCGGGGCCCATCCCGCCCTCTCTGCCTCCCCCGTCCTCTCTGCCTCCCCAGTCTATGGCCATCACTGTCATCCCCGTCCCTGTGGTCACCCCTAACCCTGCAGGCTCACCCACGCTGCCCGTCGCCACGCTCTCCCCCCCTGCTGCTCCCCCGCCTGCCGCCACGCTGCCACGCTCTCCACAGCCCAAACCTGAGCCCTCAGTGCTGACCGCCAACCACAAGCAGCTGATACAGAGCCTCCACCCGCAGCTCCTCACCCAGACTAACAATGCTAAACTGCAGCAGCTGGTGCAGCGCTACCCGGGGTCCATCGTCTCGCCCCCGCAGCGACACGCCATCCTGCCTCAGACGAGCCCCGTGCTGCAGCAGGCCCCTCTGCAGAACGGCCCCGCCAGCCGGGGGAGTCCGCCTGACGACGGCCGCCTGCTCGACAAGAAGAGACCGGGAGGGTACATAATTTAAATGGGAGAATTGCTTTTAATAGATCTGTTGATTTTTGTTGATCAATATATAGGTACATATGACCTGTAGCCTCCAATCAAAGTCTTTTGATTATGTGAAATGCAAAAAAATAGCTACATGTAGCAATTGTAAAGCTTTTACATTATTGATATTTCACCTCTAAAAGACAGAATATTATCGTCACTAAGCTTTTTGCTAGCAAGAAATATTTTTTGGTTGATTTTTATTATTCATGTCACACTGCCCTTTAAACGCCAAATTCTTACTGTGCTTATCTGTGCTCTTACAGGGCAGGCACAAGAGAAGTGCATAACAAGCTTGAGAAAAACAGGTGGGTTCAACCTGTCTACCATAGGTCCTTAAAGAGAGCGCCATCTGAGCTTATTTGTGTTGTTACATTTAATAATAGTTTACTAGCTACATAGTCTTTTTTCTCTGAAACTGACAGTTGCCTACTGTTTATTTGTTGCCGTTTCATTTTAATGCTAAGCTTGATTGCTTTTTAGTTGAGACCACTATTTCAAAAAGTTGTTTTGCTAATCATCTGTTGGTAAATTAAAGCCAAATGTGGCTCAACCATCCCTGCTGTCTCAAATCCCCTCTCTGTGTTTTGTGTCTGTCAGACGAGCACACTTGAAGGAGTGCTTTGAGACGCTGAAAAAGAACATCCCCAACATCGACGAGAAGAAGACCTCCAATCTGAGCGTGCTGAGGAGTGCGCTGAGATACATTCAGGTAAGACCAGTCCAGCTTGCTAATACAAAGTGCTGGGTATAAGTTTAGCAAAGGCATATTGCTGATCAATCTGACTATGCCAGAGCTTCATCATAGCAATGTGAAACTGACGGATCAATTGTTATCAGCCTCAGTGACTCTTCCTAAAGCATTCGAGATTTTTATTAAAGCATCGCTGACATTTAAAGGGGCGGCAGTTTAGAAATGTTTTAAAGCTTTTTGTAGTTCTAGTAGGTGTGCAGGTGTTGCCTTTTTCTTCATTGTCCCAAATAAACATTTACTACTGATACTCGTTTAAAACCTGCTTCCTGCTGCATTTATCATCACAGGGATTTATAACTTATTCTTGTTTTCTTGCAATGTTGTGTTCATGTGTTTGGATCCTTCTTCACCGAGGAATCATTGACGCTTCCTCTTTTGCAACATTTTTATGTGACTTTTTGTCTAGTTATGCCACATATGACTCACCTTGTGTGTGCGTCAGCCTCTCACTCTGAGAGTATAGGGTTGTAAACAGCTGGTGCAAAGGTCCACTACTGGCCTAGTTTCACTTTTTCTGACAAACTTGAGCTGTGTCCTAGTGTTTACTCATTTCTTCTTGGCATGACCCACGGGCCCAACCTGGCACAAGGTGTTTTATTTATTTGTATCCATGCTGTAGTTGATCTAATAACATAATCCAGGTTTATTAGAATTTCATTTACGCCAGTGGAGCAGTTGTATTTTTGTTTTGGTCCTGCAATGGTCATGGTTTGATGTAAGGCGTGCAGAATGTAAGATAGTTATTTGGTTATACTGAGTGGTAATGATAGGTGTGCTCTTCTTGGTTATGATCTATTCAGGCCTCGATGGAAGCACCAGCCCGGTGTTCATATTTCTTATTGTTTTATAACAGTGGTGCAGGTTTACTAATGTGAGCTGCAGAGGACAGGGAGCTGCTGATTTGATGCTCTGATATGCAGCAGTCTGGTTGTTCCTCTCGGCGCGTGGATACCGAGGGAAAGTAGGACAGCGTGGGTGCAGAGCTTCACCCAACCTCCCCCCTCTGCCCCCCTCTGTGTGATTAAGCAACACCCTGTTACATTGTTGTGTTCGACTGGCAGACTGACCTGCCTCTCTTTTCCTCCTATCAACAGCTGAGCTGCACCACTGAGGAGTTAGAACCAATCGCAAATACACAAATACCTCATTTATTTTGTAACCAGAGCTCGACATATTTCCAACAAATGAATGGTGTATTATTCTCAGGGACAGGTCCTTCTTAACATGTCATTTCTTGTTTAGAAATATAACCCGGTGCCATAACACTAGATTGTAGCTCTTGTAGGTCACAACAGTGTGCCTCTTTATCCCAAGGCAAAGGCTTTTTTCATTGGCCTGGCTGGATCTGTTTTGAAAGGATAAGAGTAAAAGGGAGGAACTAAGGTGATGGGAAGCCAAAACTAAACGTCACACTCATTGTGACATGGAGGTTACAGGCGTGTGTCTGCATGCACACAGCTCTCCCCCCCAGCCCCTGTCCTTGCCCTCCATTGAGGGCAGCCTGCACAAAAACATCGAGTTCAGGAGAGGCTTCAGGCTTAGCGCCAGATTTCATATGCTTCATCTTCTCTTCATGTCAATGTGAGAAAAGTAGCTCCGTTTCTAGTTTTAAGTTCAGTTTTCCACAGAAAGCCACCGGCCTGGCCAAGATCATGTGTTACTTCCACATTTCATTTCATGTGCAAATGACTCAGCAACTAACGAACCAGAAACCTTACACACAAACAGATGACTTTAAATGTATGTATGACCTCTTGTTCCCGAAGGCTCTCCCCTGAGCTTCCTGTGTAAAATAAACCCTGGTGCTTTAGAGCTCCTCCTCTCTGCTCCCCCTCCCTTCCTCCCTCGATCCTGCATATGTGAGCTTTTAAGGCCACATGAGCAGCAAGCACATGGCTAGCGTGATCCGCGTGACGTCACCCCCCCTGCCCTCCCCTCCACATGGCCCCCGCCCAGCTCTGCAACAGGCAGGACTCTCCGTAGGAGGGAGGGAACGAACATGGAGCGGTAAACACAGGGCTCGTTTTACTCGCTCGCGCTTCATCCCCCCTTCAAAGCTCACTGGACGTGTTCCTCCGCGGCTTCTCTCAGAATGCCAGTTAGAAATGTGTCGTGCCATCTGGAGTGTAGAGGTGGAGAAGGTGTATGTGTGTTTCATTATTTGAAGGATTTAGTTCACACAAACAATGGCATATTCCCCTAGAAGCCATATTCATTTATTATTAAGTTATTAATTCAGCCTATCTACGGCAGTCGAGGTCACCGCTTTAATATGTCAAGGTTTTTGAAACCTCTCAGCTTTGTCTTTGTGTCTTCTGTAGCAAGACTCCAGTCAGATTCAGAAAATGCTACATTTGCTGTTGTCTGTATTCATCTCAAGGGAAATTCTACTTTTCTGGGGGAAAGAGAGAAATATCTCCAGCATGGTCTGGACCTCCCCCCCCTCCTCAGGCCACGATGAGGTATTAAGGTCAGTTTTGACTAGCACATGCTTAGGCACAAAGAGCAGTGTGCAATAGTGGGGATTTTTTCCCCATGGACAAGCTTTTTATTGTTGAAGGCAGGCACCACGTGAAGGTCTCAGTTGCAGCTGGAGGCCACAGTAAGACAAGAGATTATGGATTCCACTCCACTGTCACAAGACCTCTGATCAGTCATCCAGCAGCATGTCTGCAACGTGGCTTCCTGTGCTACTGGCCCTTTAAGAAAAACCCAGCCTGGTGCCGTCTACTGCAAAAGTGAGTCAGTGAGTACAGCTTGTAATGCTCTCTCTCAATCCCCCACGCTCTGTGGCCCTCCCTCTCCCATTCTCTGTGGGGCCATGTGCTCAGCACTCGCATTGCTTGTGACAGCGCAGAGGCAGTGTTTACCTTCCAACACACACTCGTATAACGCAGCCTTTCCCTGTACTAATCGATACAAGGCAAAGGTGGGGCGTTGTCTCTCTCTTAAAGGAGGACGTTTGTGGTTCAGGGGCGCGGCCATGTGCAGCAAAGAGAGAAAAGGAGCTTTGCACAATATCAACCTGGTGACGTGACTCACAGGGGGATGAAGTCATGAGGGAGGAATCAGCAGCAGACCTGGTTTCTAAAGAGACAGTGTTTGCTCTGTCCCCCATCAGCCCTGCAACAGAGAGAGATCAGTGGGTTTTTGTGGAGTGTTTCTCACCACGAGTCATAGTTTGAGGCATAAAGCTGCCTGCTAGCACATGAGTAAAAGGGTGCCTCCCTTTTTACTCTCGATCCACGTGTCACATATTTTGTGCGCTCTTCATACTCTAACAACGCTGTGTGTGAGAGAATCTGTTCCCGATCTCTTTCACTATTACCCTATTGTAAGAAGAAATTAAACTAAACTAAAATGTACCTTTAGCACATGAGGGTGTGAATGGTCTTTGATGTTACCGAGGAAACCTTGTGAGGTTTCCATCTGTTTCTATGGCAACCAAAGATGGGGGCATTTCAGTACATCATGTGCTTCCACCGAGGAAACTGTTTGCGTGTTCAGACTGAAGCACCGATATCCTCAGACCTCTGGACAGAGAGTGGCTGTTTATGTACCAGGTTACTTATTAATCTGCTCCCCATGCTTATAGCTTTTCTCTGTGTGCATGACGGAGAAATGATGCAATACTTGAATTCCTGTAATATTCCAGAAGCATTCGAAACCTTTCACAAATAAAGACATAGAGGTCAGACAGTAGTGTTACCTTCTGGATCATCTTTAACAAAGCTCAGTAAAGACAATTCAGATTCTAATTTTGACAATTATTCCTAATTCAGTCAATTCAGATTCTAATATGGTAAATTATGAACCTAATTTGATGTGTTTAAAAACCACTTGCCATGTGCCATGATAACACACTAATGTTTTTTTAACTGTAAAATGTGCCACTCGGTGTATATGTATATATATATTCAAGCAATAGCTCACGACAGGCCGTGGTATATGCTCATTATATCACAGCTAAGGGGCGTGGTTCGGCCCGACGCGTGAGCTATTGCTTTTATAAAACGGTTACCAAGTGTGGCAATATGAAAGAAAAATACACATTCTGATTTAAATAGTTTTTATTAGTAAATAATGATGTTCAAAATAAAATAGTCCCTCGTTGCCTTCTGCACAAAACATAGTGCGAGGTGGTTGCTATGCAACAACACTAACTAACAGCGTTGATCCATTATTTGGCTGTTTATTTACATTAATGTGTATGTTGCTGTTTATTATGCACCCACTGAAAACCTGTCCAGCATCAGTAGCATGGCTTACGTGGTCACTTGTATAGATTGAGGTTGTTCTAGGCTGTTGCTTGGCGTGGCGAGAATATTGCTCCACTTTCTCCGGTCCCCGAGATTGGGCTTCCAGTAGCTCTGGAGAGAGCTTTCGCACCTGTGGCCACTAACGGTCATACTTTCTCTGCTTTGTTTCAAGACCCGCATCAGAAAGCTTTTGAATGGTGCTACTTTTCCAGTTGGTCTACCTGCTCTTCACGTAGCTCTGCATGTCGTCGTTTAGGTGCTTTTTTTTTCTGGAGATAGGCACTGCTCAATCCACTCCGGAGGTCGAAGTTAATCTTAAATGTTTCCATTTTATGCTTTGTAAGTTTGTTTCATAACGGAAGAAATCTAAATATATTTATAAAACTGACAAGTCAAATCAAGCAATCTGATTGGTCGATAGTGTTTTTGCAGACCTCTTTGATTACAGATTTGAAAACATTTTTGCTTGCTTTAAAAGTAGCACAATTCATTATGTTAAACCTTGGAAAGTATCTAGATATCCCTGCCCTAATGCCAAAGGAACTGCACACTGAATATGTTTTGCCGTCTGATGTCTATGTCTGGACCGCTGCGTAAAAAGGAGGGTTTCTGCCCCGTTACTTCTCCGCTGCTTTCTTGTTCCAGTATGAAAAGCAAACTGCAGTTTGTATACTGTTTTTCTCAGACGCAGAGGGATACTGACTTGTTGTGAAAAGTAACTTACAATTCTACCCGTGGTATACGCTCAGTATATCACGGCTAAGAACCAATCAGATTGCTTGATTTGACTTGTCCGTTTTATAAATATATATATATCGTTTTGGTTTATCATTTGAAGTGTTCACTTTAACCACTACAAACTGCTTGTTTCACTGGTATAAATAATTCTTGTCCTGACTTTTTTTCTGCCAACAAAAATGGGGAAAGGACTTCCTCTGAGTTTGTATTTGTGTTGGTGATTGTAGTCAGTCCATGAACAGACTGCTCGGCCCATGTGTTTTTAATCCTGGATCAAGACTAGAGACAGGTGCAGAATTACACAAGGCCCACCTTTTGTCCCTGTGCTATTTATGTACAAGCATATTGTACTGTACTCGCACAAACCCCGCTGATAGAAATCCCTCTACATGCAGCTACAACACAACACAGACATTGTCTCAATCCGGCCCTCTCACTCTAGATGACCTGCACATGCTGTACCTTCACAGATACATGGTGGCATGAACAATAACAGGAAGTCCACTTTGGGCAAATGGCTTTAAGATCCTGAGTCATCAGGCTGCTGGTAACAGATTTCACACAGGGCCGTTTCCCCTAGCCGAGGTAGTTTCGGGTACTTTGATTGAGCTGGACATGTAATAAATGATATCAAGTTTCACATTTCAAAACCTGAAACCCCTGACAGCGTAACTCGATCCTGACTGTATCATGATAGCCAGCAGTCATTTATGCATTAGTTTTAAGATGATATGTTGCTGAACACTCTTTGTATATATACATTTCTCGCATCCTGTAGCCATGTGGAGGGAGGGGCAGCTCAGTTAGTTTTGCGTTGTGTCAGTTGATGGGTTAGGGGACTTTGGGTCACAGAGAGCCACAGCCTGGCAGCACCTCCTACTTTCCACACCCTCCTGCCCCCCTCCACCTCTGCCTGCGTATTTAGCTCTGATATTTAGTTCTCTGCAAACAGTCTCTAGTCGCAGGTTTGTTTTTAAATCTGTATTTCTTGGACCTGTTCCTTATGAATCAGCTGTAGAGACTGCATGGGCATTGGTGCTGGTTTCTATTGAGGTTAAATGATGCATGGTTTTGTTTTTGAGCACACACTCTTTCTTAGGGTTTTGTAAAAAGTGCATTATTTCCCCGCAAAATGCAGTGAAGCTTAATTATAAAGAGGCATAAAATGGAAAATTAACTCAAAATGATTATATTAAAAATGTATTTTAAAAAAACGAATCGACTTAGGCCTCAAAGTTAAATTGACATCGCTCTTAATCGTTAATCAACAAAAGTAAGGCATCACAGAGACAGCATTTATTTAGGTGCGGTTGTATTGTTGCATTATTCTGTGGTACTTACTTTAAACTGGTAACACTATGATGAAGATTCTCTATTCATTATTTTAAAATCTAATGATTTGAGAGTTTATCAATGTTCTTCTTCTCTGCTTTCAGACGTTGAAGCGGAAAGAGAAGGAGTACGAGCACGACATGGAGCGACTGGCCAGAGAGAAGATCGCCACGCAGCAGCGGTTAGCGGAGCTGAAGAACGAGCTCAGCCAGTGGATGGATGTGATGGAGGTGGACCGCGTGCTGCGACAGACCGTACAGCCGGAGGAGGACCAGGCCTCCACCTCCACCGCCTCAGGTACACCGACCGCCGGGCCGGACCACCTTTAGGGACCGCCCCTGTGTTAGAGACGCAAAGACTCGATTTTATTGACAGATTTAAGAAAAAAAAGAAAGAATCATAGTCTGACCGGCCGATTCAGATTTTTCTTTCTTTAACTTCAGTTTACAGCGCGTTCACAAACCTTTTTATAAATGTAGTCTAAATGTTGACCTCATTGTTGTTAAAAACTTTGTTTCGAAAGTTATTGCAACGGCTTATGTTATGCTTGTGTGTGCAAGCTTTAAGTCTACTCATACACCAATGATATCATATATGTGTTTGGCTGCAACGTCACTGTCTGTGCAACTGTGTGCGCAACGTAAAGATACTACATGTAAGGCACAAGGTATAAATACATTTATGTTTTTATAACAGTTCTAAACTGCAAAATGACCTACCAAATACAGCACCAAACCACATTCTATTTCTAAATATATCTATTAGTCAAATGAAATCAATTACATTTGGTGATAATGAGTTAATTGTTTCCTCTGTTGCAGAAGGTGAAGACATCATGGATGAAGACCTGGAAGAAGAGATTGCGCCGAGAGCACAGACTGCCTTACCCACCGTGCCTCAAACCATGAAACCTGATCTGCACCGGACTGCACCCCCCACTCAGGCCCCCACCTTGGCCCCCAGCACTACCTCCTTCATCACCCAGCACATTTCCATCCAGCACAAAGTCCCTCAGCTCCATCCGCTCACAGTGACTCCTCAACAGCCGGGGTTCAAACCTGCAGTCCCCCATACACTCGCCTCCCCCTGCCCTCCCATCAGCCTCACGCAGACCCTCGTCCCCACCCAAACACAGATGGTGACGGCGTCCAGCCTCCACCCCACAGTCATAGCCCACGCTTCAGTGTCCCACCCCTCAGTCATACAAGCAGTGAACCACGTCATCCATGGAGGGGGTCACAAACGCATCGCCCACCTGGCTTCCTCCACCAGCACGGTCCAGTTAGCCCACCAACCCATAGGCCACATCACCGTGCACCCGGTGGCCCACCTCCACCAGCACCTTTACCCCCAGCAGGTGGCCGTCACACAGTCGGCCATGATGGGTCACATCACCCACACCATAAACCACGCCCCCCCTCACATGAACGGCACTGTGACTAGCCAACCCGCTGCCACCATCATGGGCAAGCAGACAGCAGTGAACACCCAGATGGTGACGCACCACCCGCAGCTGGTGGGTCAGACGGTGCTCAACCCTCTGACTATGGTGACCATGCCCTCCTTCCCCATCGGCACTCTGAAGCTGGCTTGAACCCCACGTAGAGGACCGCCAGGCTGGGAGATATGGGGGAACTACAGGCCTTAGATCAGGCCTCTGAGGAACCGACCGTGAGGGCCGGAGATCTGCGGGACCCCTCGCTGATCCAGAGTTTGACTTTCATTCACAAGCATTACAGCTGATGGAAAGCCGGGAACATTCCTACAACAAACCCTCTTTAAAGAGTCTTTCACCGGTGTCCTGAGAACTTTATCCTGAATTTGGGATATGATTGAAATCCTCTTGAGCAAGTCTGACAATATATATGGTGGGCAGATGTTAAGACATCACTCTCTGCATAAAGGGAAGTCTTGTGCTGCCACTACACTGTCCATTAGGGCTGAATCATCTGTCGGTGACCAGTCAATGTGCCTACATAATATCTCTGCACTTGGAAAGCAAAATTAGGATAGCTTAATCGAAGAAGAACCTAGTAAACAATGTAATCATAGACACATGGTTGTGTAGATGTTAATGGCAAACAAAGCATGGTGGACCCTTAAGGGAGAGCGGGTGCAGCGAGCAAGTCCGGGAAGTATTAAGATCCGCAGAGTGGAAGAAAAGGAACACAATGTCAAATCTTTGAATTGAACAGCCAAATCTGATTTACTTCAAATAAATCTGATCTGGGTATAGCAAGCCTAGTGTCCATGTCCGCAGCATGTCACCGTGTTCATGGAGGTACTTGCTGCTGGTTATCACTGTGGATTAACATATATTATGTAGTGGAGAAGCTACTCTGTGAGACTGAGCGTGGGATCACTGCTGGACCCGCCATAACCAGCACATTGGGAATGTGATGTAGAGGAGCTCCTCCTCAACAGAGGCACATGCTGCAGGGCTGAAGTCAAATCCCGGACTGAACCAAAGCTCCTGAGCGGAGCATCAGCCGTCAGTGATGCTGCATACAGCTATAGCCCCCCCTGCTGGCTGATTGTGCTCAATGTAATGCTAATATTCCTGTGACTATTAAAAAACTTCTAATATAGTATAATACTGATGGTTCTCATTCAAACAACGGCCATTTAAAGTAAAAAGAACATGCAGTTTTGTCAGGGTTTGTATTTTTATCGTGGACACTGAAATTGTTACTTTATTTAGGATATAGCTATGTTTTGGTCACAGCTGCTAATATATGTTTTAAATATTTTTGCCAAACAGAATCAGTTCCAAACACCCCCTAAAAGTCACAACACAGTGGTGTGTTTAAAAACGAAACTCTTGAGATACAAACTCAGAAGCTACAAGGTGAGGGATTGCTTTTGAATTTTGAATGTGAATACATAAAAAAGGTCCATAAAATGTAGTTACATGTGTTTCTATGCTGTCTTCAATGGCAAATGGTAGTAGTATGGGTGTTTGCATGCTGTGAATGCATGTCATGACTGTGTATTTGTGATAATACTGAAAGCGAGCTGTGGAGGGTCTGTCTGACTTCAACATGTTGCAGTAGGAATGTAATATTTCTTTACTCAGAGTTTTAAGTGATTTCAACACCCAACATTAATTAAATCAATCAATGTGATTTTTCAAGACTATTCTTTTCCAAAGCTAGCACTGTGAACATTTCTATTAGCCTCAATGAGCAGCAGTTAAGCGTAGCACTTGTTCTCCTTATTTATTCTGAATGTACTCATCTGTGAAAGGATGTGGAGAAGTGCACTCATCAGAAGTTAAGCCCTTTTTTTCTTATTATGTTTTTTTTTAAAGAAATATACTTTATGAAAGTATCACGTGTATGTAATGCGCAACATTTAAACATTTTGTATTTTAAGATTTACTGTTGCTTGTTTCATGTGGAGAATGACTTCTTCTGTTCAGTGTAAAATTTGATAATATAGTTGTTTTTTCTGGGACCATGTATAGTGCTGTTTATCGGGGTGGCAACTACTCAGACCTCTTTTCACGTTGATATCTCATTCGGCCACTTTGGAAAGTATTCACCCCGTAATTGTTTTCTATTTTGTTTTGATGCAATATGATTAAAGCAGGGACTATTAGTTTTCTTTTTAACTGATTTTCTCCTCAATATTTTATGCAAATCATCCTGAAGAAATCATATTGTAGCAAAACAAAATGTGTTAAAATGAACAGGGATTCAGATACTTGAAGAAGCAACAATATACTCGTGTGTTTTCCCTATGGAGAAAGTTTAAATTGTATATAGCCTGTAAATGTTGGGCTGCATTTAGATCTAACTGTATTATGTAAAATGCTGGGGAAAATATGTAAAATTTATAAAAGCTACTTAATAAATTGTATTATGTTTACTAATGTCTGAAGCTGCATTTATTTTTATTTTAACCAGATGATCATTTTATTTTTCAAAGACTGTTGAAGTTGACAGTCAGATTTAAATTATGATTTTTTATTATTAATTGCCAGAAGCTATACAATACTGACATAAATAAGTCTTATCAAATTGTTTCTTATAAATGTCACTTAATTGTCATAGTATAATATGTAATATACCACATATTATAAAACGGACAAGTAAAATCAAGCAATCTGATTGGTTCTTAGCCGTGATATACTGAGCGTATACCACGGGTAGAATTGTAAGTTACTTTTCACAACAAGTCAGTATCCCTCCGCGTCTGAGAAAAACAGT